ACAAGAAAATGGAAAAAAATGATGTGTATTACCCTTCTGAAAATAAAGGGGATTATTTGGAAAGTCGTCATTTCGTGAATTTAATAATTTTACTTCACATCATATTTCTCCTTTAAAAAGATGTAAGCAATCATTATGTACAAAATGTATCTATTGTGAAATTGAATCTTCTGTAGAATAAAAAGTTTTTCTGGATTTAACAAAATAATACCATTAATAAATGGAGAAATAAAAAAATTGAAGAAAAGCTTACAGAGAAAATTGATGAATATATAAATCTTCTAAGAATAGAATTTGAGTTTAATGTAAAAGATATGTATGAAAAAGTAGAAAAAGATATAAAGTAAAAAAAAAGACAAAAAAAGATTTTTTATTAATTTAAAATAAATTTATTTGGGTAAAAATATTTGTACTTATAAAAAAAGAAAAATAAAGAAAAAAAACCATAAAAGGAAGCGTGACAATGATTGCTTACTAATAATCATTGTGAGGGCTGCTTTCATGGTATTATTTACATGATGTCAAAGAAACTGGTAAATGCATCAAGACTGTATTAACTATGTTGAAAAACACTCTAAGAAATATCCCAATAGAAGTCGAAGATACAAATACAATGTAAATGAATTTCTTTGGAGAGGAAATATTGTTCATTGGTTGCATAATCGAAAACAAAGAATTCAACAGAATCAACTTTATTATGATAGAGAATACCAACTTTATCAATTTGCATATGAATCGAATAGAGGTCAAGTTGAATAAGTACCATGTTCTTTTTTTTTATGGTTAATGCATTTAGAATGTGAATATGTTGGTGTTTGCAATCGTTTGAAGTCGTTTTTTAAGAAATAACTCAAAGAAATAAAAGCAATCCTCATTTACAATGTGTGACATACCATCTTCTATAAATTCTTTTACATGCGTTTGTTTACAAATAGAAGATTGGATTAATTGGTTTTGGGACGGTAAAGTTGGTGAAAATACTGACTCATATTTGCGATTCTTTCTTGTCGATGATATGTTAAAACGAAACATTTTATATCATCAGTAAATTGGACTTTTGGAACATTTAGAATGTGTAACATACGAGCTGGGTCAAGTTTTTATCCATGTCTTTGTTTACAAATAGAAGATTGGCTTAACTGGTTTTTGGATGAAGAAATTGGTGAAAAGGTTGATTCCTTTTATCGACTCTTTATTGTGGATGAAGCATTGAAATATGAGAATTTGTATCTTCAGTAAATTGGACTTTGGACATTCCATAATATCATTTTAAAAATTGGACTTTGGACTTTCATCAATGTAATTATTTTGTATTGTATTTGAAATATATCTTTTTTTGTGATCTTCTTGCTTATATATTTTGTATTACTCTTATTCACTTTTCTAATATATATATGTATATTATCACAGGCTAACCTATCTCTATTTTTATGTTTACTACCGCTGACTGCTTCAAAAACGATCCCCCCGTTTTTTTATTATAAAATGTATTATGACTATTTTTAGACATAATACATTTTATTATAAAAACTTGAGAGTGATGATATATATATATATATATATATATATATATATATTAGTTAACTACTGACGATAAAGCAAGAAAAGAAGAAGAAAGAGAAAGAGAAGAGAAAGAGAAAAAGAAAAGGAAAAGAAGAAAGAAAAAGGGAGCGTCATCGTTAATTTTAATTTTGTAGGCTGGAATTAAAACACAGTCTAGAGATTTTAAAAGTAGATGCCACTCGGCATCGAGCGAAGATCATCGAGAGGGGAGTCATGAGTCATTATTCGACATAACTAAACACATTCGACTTCTTCTGCCGTTTCAAGAACAGGACATAGGTAGCTCGTCTCTACACTTCGAACCCCCCCCCCCGGACCTACAGGCAACTTTGAAGCATCTTTTAAAAGACCCAATTGTAAAGCCCGAGTGTCGTTCAAGATCAAATGGATTGCGTGAGAAAACCAAATCAATACGACAGATCTTTCAACTGGTAGCAATGCATGATCTTGCAAATTTCTGGAAAATTGCATTCCAAGCAATTACAATGTGCATCACTCACCGCAGAACGGGCAATTTACAGCATTAAGAAGCTTGAAGTGCGTCTTATAGAGATGCGGTCAAAAAAAGAGTTTCAACGTCTGTACGATCAAGCAAAAAAGATTGTCGGCGAGTTACAAGATGAAGATGAAACGCTAGTAACGCAAGAATCGAAGAGAAGAAGGTCAACTCCTCGACACCTGTCTGATTATGTCACTCATTTCGATGCGCCTTCATCAGCAAGAGCAATGGACACTAGAACAGAACTTTTGCGTCTTTATTATTAAGCTGTTGATTCTGTCGTAGATGCAGAGCAGAGACGTCTTAACCAAGAGGAATTGTAATTTATTGAAGTTATAGAGTCATGTCTTCTTGCAGCAGTGTATAAAACAATTCCCATAGATGAAATTCCTCCAAAACTAGGACATTTACCTTCAGTTATCGATAAGGACTCATTGGTGGTTCAACTAGGTGAACTACTAGTTGTACTAAAGCTTTTCAATGCAGAACAGTCTTTACCCATTAAGGAAGTCACGAGCCTTTCCACACTTTGCAGAATATTGAACGAAAGAAATAGCACCAAGAAATGTCTGTCTGAAGCGCATAAACTATTGACATTTTACATCTCCGTTCCTATTAGTTCAGCTACAGCAGAGAGAAGTTTTAGCGTGATCCGTCACATCAAATCATGGCTCGGATTCACCATGTCAGAAAACAGCCTAAACAACAGAATGTTTGCTGCTCTCCACAAGAAACGCATTGACGAGGTTTCTATCTACTTAATATTGTTATATGATACAATATTGTAGGAAAATCTGGATTACTTCTATAAAATGTTTATATGCACTTTGCATTCTGTTCAAGAGCTTATCTCAGTGCTTGTCCGTATGTTGCTTTTGCTGTGATGCGATGAACTTGTTTTGTGTATCAATGGTTCCCATCCATTAAAAATCGTTTTATTACATTGTGCAAATCAGTAAAAGTGCCTTGGCAAGATTATTTCATAACACAGTTTCAAACGTATTGATGTTTACAAAATTAACAACGTTTCTGAGACTCCAAATAAATTTTTTTTGCAAAGAAATACTCACCGTACCCTCCCTCTTCGGAAGATCGGGAAATTTGAAGTGCGCCGCTCTCAGGATTTTAGCTGGATCTGCGCCTGGGATGTATCAATAGATATCCATTTATAATGCTCAATGAAACGAAAGAGAAACTTTATCGTGTATGCACCAACTGATGAAGAGACAAATAAATTATCGAAAGTGCTTAGCGACCTAAACATTTGAACTGGGATGAATCAGTATGCAACGTTTCCAGTGAAGCTTAAATGCTCCTCCGGACTCAAAAGCTCTCTTGTCTATGGTACTAAAAACAATTCTACAAAACGTTTTTCATTATTCTTTTTTACTAATACTTATTTTCTAAAAAGATTATCATTGTTTTTTTTTCCTAAAAATGAAAAGATCAGAAACGCCGGAGAAAGTGGGAAAATTTTGTCGACAAACATCGACCGCACACCTTTTGAAAGTTGGGATACATTGCATCTTCTTTCGGCCCCGTTCAGCAAAGATTCATTGTATAACGTTAATCATGCGTAGGCTAAGTTGCTCAAAACTGAGGTAACTTTTAAATTTAATGCTATGCCTGCAATTGATGTTGCAGGAATTGTTCCAGAGGGTAAAGAGTTAACAGCAGAAGTAGACAAATACAGGTATATTTTATGCAACTCGCGTTGTGGACGAACTCCTTTTATGCATATACGTAAGCGATGAATTATTACATAGCAAAAAACATTTTACTACTACTACAAGCGAATTAAAAAATTACTCGATAATGTCTTTGAGAAGATGATCCGCCTCTGAATCCGAAGTAGTATAGTAACGAAAATAAAAAGTAAAATGACTTATTAATTTTAACCTAAAAATACTTTATAGATTTACATACCCGCAAATGAGACATTTGAACACAATGTTCGCCTTGCTTAACATATTGACTATCACATCAGAAAAATGCGATAAATGACCAAATGATAGTTTAACCAAAAAGTCATCACAGTGATAACATTTTTTAAAAAATGAAACCGGCGTCTCTGTTAAAGTTAATAAATTCACCCTAAGGAACAGAAAAAAAGACAAAGGGTACTTAATTAAGGTATAAAACGACGATTGTGGCGAGGCCATCCTTCTTTCATTGCGTATTTGGATTTTTTTCAGATTTTTTATGGTGTATGCGTCTCCACAAGACTTTCAGTTTGGTAAGAGGTGGAGAAGCACTGCACATGCGCTTGAGATGCGATCTTCAATGACATCTCGCAAATGTAAATTAAAACTTACCATTGAACAGTATGACCTTGAATAATGTGACGAGGGTAAGATCTGTGATGTATCTTACTGAGGAAAATAATGCAGTAAATGATAATAAAGCTATGGGAAGATATCTAACAAGGCGAATAAAGGAGTTGGATGAACATAAGTCAATATTAAAGGGAAATGAAAAGAGCCTTTAACATACCAATCGACATGATGCAGTAAATGATAAAGACCCCCAGGAAAGATGCCTGACAATGTGAATAAAGTATCGGTTTGATCATGAGTCAATAATGAAGGGAATTAAAAAGAAAAATCATGTTATAAAGATAAGGTACTCTAGTGTGTGCGGTATTGCGGTATCATACAGAGGTAAGCGATGCTGTTAATGAATGAAGATGTCCCCCTCTTGAAAAATATTTTAATTCGAGGTGAAGGAAAGGACAGTTACAAAAATAAATGATCTGCGGGTGGATTTGTAAGAAGCGACATCATGAATGTGAGACAGAATTATACGTTTTTAGTCACTGACGTCGACCTAATTCATATGTATATATCTAACGATGTAATTACCCGTTTGGGTCCAATTTACAAAGGAGACTTTCCTAATCGACTATATTTTTGTAATGATATTGGATATCCTATGATATTTGAAAAATTCTAAATCAGCATCTAAGCAAAGAAATATTTTTTAAATGTTTATGAAACATTAATTACACACAGTTATTTTGGACCGCTCATCACGATCATATCTTCGATTGTCTAAAAACTTTGCTGAGATCCACTGTTGAAATGTACCAGTCCCTGCAATAATTCAATGTCGAGCACGACTAACAAGATTCATGTTGGTGAGGGCTATTACACCTCGATCTAATGAGTCCGACGATGGAATGAATGAAATACCTTTTGATTCCCTAATTATATAATCAATCAGATCGTTGAAAACATTTTCATTCAACTTTTTCTCCTTTCTATACCTGACCAACCATCCAGAGCCAAACTTTCCCATATCAGTTGCTACGAATTCTTGAGATAATTTTATATGCTCTTTTACAGCACTTAAAACCTAAAATATCAATTAAAAATTTCCATGAAACTTATTTCTAGATTGCATCCTGAAATACTAGACGAAATTTTTTTTTTACGTAGGTGTAGTCTATGTTAAACGCGATTAGTTACTTGTAAATTACATCGCGGAAAATAAATACAATGCTTCTCTTTAGGGGAACAGATGAAAAATTGCTCCTCACTCGTTTTAATATCACAACAAATAAACAGCTATGGAGCTAAAAAATAAAAAATCTTTTCTTAAGGCGAAAGTTAACGGGAACAGAAAAAAATTCTGAAAACTCTTGGAGATTCAACAAAAATTCGTGCTCATAACGTAGCATTTTGCTATGAACTTTTAACGTACGTAAGACTTTACAGAAAGACATTGATCTTATCAAAACACAGTTTAAATTCATGGTCCTGGTTCCTGTATACCAATATACTTAGCCAATGTACGCTTCTTTTTGGAAATATCGAGTTTTTTTTCTTGAGCCTTGCATGCAATAATTATGAGCAAAACTTACCCTTTACTTTAGAGCATGCAGTAAGTGTAAAATATAGAGCCCTTATTTTTATTGATGCTTTCCTAAAAGCATCTGGATTTATTTTTAATCTACTTAATTTGAAAATCAAGCAAAAATATAAAGGCAAATCTTGATTGTAAATGATGTTTAGTTACTGCAAACAATAATTTTGATGTGAAAAATGATCAAGAAATCAGTATGGGTGTTTGGAAAAAAGTAGACATTTTGAAATTCCTCTATAAAAGCAGCTGGATGTTTAAAAAAATCTTTTGGCCAATTTGATTACTTTGACGATCTCTTGTATAGCTAGCAATGAAATTTTTAAAAATGAAAGTTTCAGTTCCGGTAAAACATCTGCTGTACACATACGGCTTGTTTTTAAATGAGCAGTTTAAATTTTGCTAGAGAAAATAAATTACATACTGTAATGAAACTGTCATATTTTACTTTTTAAAATATATTTTTGTGTTATTTTGTGGTACTGATTTGAGAAATTTTGCCCTTTTTTTTCAAACGTTGAGTTAATGAATGAAAGCATGCCTACACGTCGAAATATTCTGGCTGTTAAATAATACGAGTGTTATCAAGAAATACAAAATTTATTATGCTTTATTAAACAACTATATAAAAAATGACCTTCCCAGCAAGTACAAAGATGTTGTGAAAACAATGTAGCGACGTTGCGTATACATCTTGAAAAGGTTTGGAAATAATTTCTTGAAAACTGAAATTTGTAGACTCCAGCAAACGTCATGAAGACGTTGTGAACAACGTTCGAGAATAACCTTCCTACGACATATGTACAACGTTTATTAAAACCCGTTTTTTTTTGATATAGAGCATATAAATTTATATAAATTTATTTGGGGAACATAATATTTCTTCACCTGTAATTCCACATTTGAAGACTTTATTCGCTACCACATTATCCACATAACCTTTGACGTATTACACTAGAAGCTAAAGTTAGAAACGTTCTTCCAACAATTTACAATTTCATATACGACTTTATTCATACACACGACTTATAATAAGTATTTAAATCATACAGGCGTTGGACTGTGAAATACACACAAATTCACGATGAAATTGATTTTTTTTATTTGAATTTTACATAAGTATACAATGATTTAGAAGATGGAATAATTTCCTTGGAATTAATCGTAAAATGAATGACAAAAATCAAAACGCAAAAATTGAAGCTCATTATAATTTAATAAATTGATCATTTCCTACATCAATTCTTAAAGAGTCGGTAATCTAAAAAATTTAGAAATGGATATTTTGTTAAGATATGCTCTCATATTCTTCATGTAATTAGCAAATAATTAAGTCAAGTGTAACTAACTAAATGATTATTTTAAAGGGGTTATATCACGAATTTTAGCCCCCCTTTTTTATTAGCTTAATTGAAAATTTGGATTATTTGAAGAACTATGACATGTCGCTGGACTTAAACAGATAAATATAAGTTCCTTAATTTTGCCTCCAAAGTCGGGTACTTTTTGCGAATTTTTACGACGCCATATTGATACTTGTGACGTAGATAGTTGAACACGTCTGTTTCCGTCAATATAATATTATATTATAGGAGGTGATTTTGTTGTCGTTTTTCTTGTGTTAAAAACAATAATGACAGTATTTTCAATAAAATATTAAAAAACAAGTTGTCCGGAAAGTATGGCTTCAAATCAGTGCTCAGATAATTCGAATTCGATGTCTGAATGCGTATCTGATTCGAGCTCGGAATCCGTGGGTTATGTCGAGCATTTAAACGACTTCGCATATGACGATGAACCGCTCGCAGGAGATGGTGATGAAGTGCATACTCCAGATGATCCCGATGGAATTCTCCTGCGACCTTAGAACAACGAAGTGATGGCGTAATTCCACTCGGTGAATGGTAAGTTGTTGTTTTCTCCTGTTTGTAATATACATAAAGTTACTTTATAAACCACAATGCTCCCACGTTTCAGGTGTAATTGTCAATGCTGTCATACCGATTTGTTAGAAGGCGCATTAGAGTACAGATGCTGTAAGGAAATAGGACCAGCTTTGCAGAAAATGACATTCGATGGCAGCATTGAGAAAATATCATGCATAACACAGCATGCCAAATTTGGGCCTTTAGTTCATGAGGCTGTCCTTGAAAACGTCGGGCCACTATTGAGAGATAGGAATGGACGTGCTTATCGCCGCCAAGCATCACAATCATTAAATATGTAAGATTGTAAATTGTATGAGAAAGAATGTTATCATCAACATTGTTTCATCAACAATAATTAGTCCAACCTTTTTATTTACTTCAGGTACTTGAGAGCTGTGGCATACAGATGGTTGATGCGATGGTTTTGTGGGTCTATGGGATGGGAGAATACTCGGCCTTTACCTGCTTGTGTTTACCACTTTATTCGGAAAGCATATCCAAGTGGTAACACAAAGGTTACATACCATCAGAGGGCGATGATGGAAAGGTCTTTAACTTGTGCACTGTAGAGACTGTTGGCCTTCTTTGCTGAGTTTAGAATGGTCAGGAAATATGCCTAGATGAAAACCAAATAGGAGATACATGGATGCACTATACGGTAAAGAAAATCTTTTCTTCAATGTCAGTCTGGGAAAAAAAGAAAAATTATATGGAATTAAATCATAGCATAAATGTAAAATGGAAAATAGCAAGCCACATGAACTTATCTTATAAGGTCTTCACACTTGAGTGCACTGCATCCACAAAGGGCATGTGAGCATTAAACTACAATAAAAAAAATTATTCATGAAAATTAATTAGTTGCACAATCGAGTGAGATAGTCATCTTCAATCTGACAAGTATACATACCATTCAATGTTATATTAATACTGTAATCATCAGGAAACATGTGTATATCAGTGCCCAGATAGGGAGGCTAGAGGGTACTATCACTTGCCTAAGGTGAACCCTCAGGCTGGTGGTGGGAAGGAGGTGCCTTACTTCTCCATTCCAGACAGGCTCCAAGCAATGTCTGACCACTGCCCTATCATCTACCAATTTCAATTCATTCTTTTTCAGTGAAGCATTGACCTCGAGGATGTCCTTTCATTGGAGCTTTGCATTTAGTACATTTGCGAGTACTTTTATTCCCAGAGCTATTTAATATTTGATCTGCATCATCTGTTAGGTCTTGTAACTGATGTCTTTGCTGTTCCACTAAGGAAAAAATGCAGATCATTACATCCTAAAATAATTGTAAACAATACCATTATCCCATACTTACAGCATGGATAAAGTGCATGACTGACATGCTTGTTCCTCGCAACATATTTTTTTACTGCCTCAGCCTTGGATCGTTTGTTGGGAAACTGGCTGCACAAAGGTTCGGGTGCTTTTCCTCTATATCTTTCCATTATAGTTGAAAGTTCTTGTTTATTAGACATGAAAAGAACATTCTTTACTTGTTCAACATATTCTAGAAATTGATATGAAAAATAATTTGTTACTGATGCTTCAATTCTCATGCTCAGCTCCATCACTAGTAGATGGTACTTCCTCATCGAGAGAACATGTTTCCTTCAGCGATGGCTTATGGAGAGTATGTCGAATAATCTACAAAACATATATCGAATTTACATATCACAAAAGAAAAATTAACATAAACAAGCGTAAACTTACTTGTCTGCGCTTTCGATCGGTTATTTCGTCCTGTAATGGTTCAGGAATCCCAGCCACGTCAATGGTTGGGATAGCATCCTTCTTCAACCTTCTTTTGAGCGTGACTTGCACGCTCAAATTAAGGTCAAAACAAGAATCTTCAAAATGCGCAGAACACAGACACGAGGTAGAGGAAGCCTCAAAACCCGGTCTATGTTTACGCACAAAATTTACCCATTTTCTATGTCTTTGCGGCTCTGTTTCTTTATTAGGAAACAGATGCATCGGCATTCCTTCTGTTTTTGAATCATTGGCGCAATTAATTTGATTAGGTCCGCCAGCAACACAGCGTTTTCCTCCGCGTTTCTTATTAAGATTACTAGTAGAATACGCCATGTTGATATATGTGTTCAATTATCTACGTCACAACTCATTAGCATACCGTTCAAAAAGTTCGCAAAAAAAAATGCTGAAAATCGTGACTTTGAACGTCCATAAAATCACTTTCACCAATCCAATTTCAATTATAATTGCAGATTTAAAATCACTGAAATAAGGTCTTTCAATTTAGCTAATAAAAAAGGGGGGCTAAAATTCGTGATATAACCCCTTTAAGAGACACTTATGTGCAATAATCACAATATTTTTTAGAGTTCCTAATAGCTTTGGGTTGATTGTAAATTCACCATATTTAGTACACAAACAAATATACCCATACGTAATATCTTGTTTAAATAGAAGTAGTTTAACCATTGTACGATAGATCGTGGACAACAGACATTGACGTTGAACATTAAATGTGATTATAACAGTTATCTGTAATATCTCTATTTGTTGGTGTAAGTCGATATATTCTAAAGAAGGTAGATGGCTACACCACAAAACCTAACAGGTTATGAGCCCAGGAGAGGAATTAACTTTAATAGAGATGAAGCCAAGTATGAACTCTGGGAGTTGAAGTTTCTTTCGTTTATGATAATACAGAAACTGTACGATGTTGTCGTTCCTAGTCGAGACGAGGAAGGACTGGATGAGGCGAGGAATGCAAATGCCTTTGCTGATTTAGTACAATCTCTGGATGATCGGAGTTTGTCTCTTATTATAAGGGAGGCAAGGACGATGGTAGAAAAGCGCTTGGTGTTCTGGGTTAGCATTACCAAGGCAAATGAAAGCCAAGAATCATCGCTCTGTATACAAAATTGACCTCGTTAAATAGAGTGGAAAACGAAACCACGACTGATTTTGTGGTACGTGCTGAGACATCAGTGACTGCTTTAAAATGTGCTAAGGAAGTTATAAGCGATGGGCTGCTGGATGTAATGGTTCTGAAAGGGCTTCCAATAAAATATAAAACGTTCGCAACTGTGGTCATCTAAAGGGAAAAACAAATGACTTTCAGCGAATTCAAAACGACGAGAACGAAAAATCTTGTGAAAAAGATGAAACCGATCGAGTTATGTTTTCAAAACAGAATCAACGATTTGAGTGGAAATGTTTCACGTGCGGCAAGAAAGGTCATAAAAGTTGAGGATGTTGGATGAAAAACGGAAATGGTGTGCCAAGTGCAAAAGCAAGCCTTACTATACAAATGAATGCAAGGCAACGAAGAAGGACACAGTAAAGAAAGTTAAAGAGAAAACAACAAAAAACGAACATTCATTTGCATCCACAACACAACAGTACAAAGAGAGAAGACGACAAAGCCAAGGAGATGCAAAGTTGCTAGTGAACACGGGAGCAACGAGTCACATAATTAATAACAGTTCCAAATTTGAAAGTTTTGATAAAAATGTTGATAACAATAGTCATTTTATTTAATTAGCTGATGGGAGTAGAGCTAATGTTGTGTTGAGAAAAGGAAATGCTAATGCTAAGTTATTTGATGTCAAGGGTAACTTGCATGATGCAATGTTATTTCATGTTTATATGTTCGTACTATTGATAGTGAACAATGTGTTACTGCCATAATATGGGTGGATGATATCATTGTAGCTGCAAGCGACATTCATTCTTTAAATAGTATAAAAGATTCTTTGAGCAATCGATTCAAAATGAAAGATCTAGGCGAACTAAAATTGTTCTTAAGAACAAAATTTGAAAGAAGTGAAAGTTGTTATAAGATAAATCAAACACGGCATATTCAGAAAGTTCTTTCAAAATTGAAAATGTCCAAATGCAAACCAAAACCGACACCCTGTGTTTTAGGAATTGAAAACGTAATGAGCGAAGAATCACCAGTACTATCAAATCCAAAACTATATAGAGCAATTGTATGAAGCTTAATATATGTTATGACTGGAACCAGACCAGATTTATGTTATATTGTTACTAAACTTTCTCAGAAAATGTCTGAAACCACACAAGCAGATTTATCCATTGCCAAACATGTTTTAGGATATTTAAAAGGGACACAAGAAGTTGGATTAGTCTTTCAAAAATCAGATTCACAACTTGAACTTACAGGTTTCTGTGACTCAGATTGGGGAGCGTCTATAAAAGATAGACGAAGTATTACAGGTTATAATTTTCAGCTTTCACAAGAAGGTCCTTTCATATCATGGAAGAGCCGAAAACAACCAACTGTTGCACTATCAACGTGTGAAGCAGAATATATTGCCCTAGCAAACGCAATTCAAGAATCTAAGTTTTTATTGCAACTTTGTTGGGATATGAAGTTAAGTATAATGGAATGTAAGTCTTTTCTTTTCAAAGATAATCAAGCAGCAATGAATCTAGATAAAAGCCCAGCTCATCATCAAAGATCAAAACATATCGACATTAGATACCACATTACCAGATCAGAAATTCAGCAAGAAAGAGTTAGCTTAAAATATGTACCTAATGAAGACAAGGTAGCCGATATTATTTACAAAACACAAAACCAACAAGCAAAAACAAATTGGAAAAATTTAGGCAGACAATACTAGGAAACATACGGTAGAAATTCTGAAGTGCGCATAAGTAAGGCCAAAGGTAAGTATCAGTTTAATAATAATAATAATAATAAAAAATGTAGGATGCTCAGAACATAAGAGCAACTGGGGTGTTAAGATATGCTCTCATATTCTTCCTGTAATTAGCAAATAATTAAGTCAAGTGTAACTAACTAAATGATTATTTTAAGAGATACATATGAGCAATAATCCCAATATTTTTTATAGTTCCTAATAGCTTTCCGTTGATTGTAAATTAACCATATTTAGGAAAGAAACAAATACATCCATACGTTACATCTTGTATAAATAGAAGTAGTTTAACCATTGCACGATAGATCGTAGACAATAGATATTGACGTTGAACATTAAATGTGATCATAACAGTTAACTGTAATATCTCTATTTGTTGGTGTAAATCAATATAAACTAAAGAAGGTAGATGGCTACATCACAAAACCTAACATATTTTAGATTTGATCAACCCATAGGACGTATTGTTAAACGATTACGTGCAATCACTCACACTAAGGCCATGTTTACATGAGACCGGAAGGAAAACGCGAAAAATTTTCATTCGCGTAATGTCTCTTTTTCAGGCTAATTTTACGCTTGCTAGCCTTTACGCTTTTGTAATTTGCTTTGTGCGCATGCGTTGATGCCATTTCAGACCGTTCTGAACTTTAATTTGAGTTTACATTGATGCCGGTTTCAAGTCATACCGTTCTGAGCTCACTCGATAGAAGCAGCAGGCGGTGTGACCTCAGACCGTTGTGAGTTACTTTCGTAACGGTCCCATGTAAACATTTACTATAATTAATATTATGACGTACACCAGCTGGTACTGGTTTGAAATATTTAGTTGGTTAATCTATAATAAGCCTTTCAACTTTTAACTCTGTTATACCGGCCACTTGTAACGCAAGACTCTCTACTTTTGAGTACACTCGTCTTGTTTACATGGTGGCGGAATGGAAGGTTGACAAACAAATGTTGTTAAACATGGTCATTATTGTTTATACTTGTTTTATAAAGCATTATGCTTTTTGTATTATTTTAGCTGTATTTTCGTCTAATAAGCTTTTTTTAATATGAGCATTTCTTGATTAAGTGTTTATGAAACGAATTTATACTTATATTTTTATTAGCTTAATGTGTCTTTTCTGTTTCTTTTATATATGTTTCCTTTCTGATAAATATTCATATAGCAGAATCAAATTGGTCTTTTTAAAATCATTCTACAGGGGTCTACTAGTGCAATTTCTGCCCAATTTCTGCAAAAATTTTGCGCGAAAAATCAATTTTTTGGAATGACATTGAAAAAAGTACTTTCTCTCGAAATGGCGTATGTAGAACTAATAGTGACGAAAAAGCCTCATGGTGGAAATCTTTCTGTTGCCAACATCGTAAACTTAATGAATTGCAATAAACGTCAACAAAGTAAAAGAAGAGCTATCCACCTGTCTCTTTACGAGAAGACATATCCTCAAAAGCGAATATAACAAGTAAATTTTGTCCAGAAACAGACTAAGTTTCCAAGCTATGGCCACATCATGCTTAAGTTCTAGTTACCTTATTGACACCATGATAAAAAAAACAACAGCATAAGTCAGCACTGCGAGAACACTAATACACAGATTCCTTAAAGTTCACAATAAACGTAAGACGAAAATGTTGACACGCATAACTCGCGCTTTACAGAAAGGCGGTTATTCATATAAATTCAATTCACATATAACCAACAAAGTCACACATGACAAGACACCATCTCCTGTCGGGGCCGCTAATTTGTTTTGATATAAAATTTACTGAGCATGCGCTGTATTGGAAATGCAAAAGCAATTTGCTACAAGACTTCGCACACGGACAAATAACAAAGCATTTTGCCACGCGATGCAAAAATATCAAACAACTTAGATATTTGCCAGTTCTGCCTGGAATGGCAAAAAAGGTCGGAAACAGCACGCGAATACAAGAGCAACTTGCTTACCCCACTTGGCACAAATAACATTTTGATGAGAAGCAAGCTCTCGTGTGCACCGGGCTTTCTAAGAACAGTTTACCAGTGGAAACATAAACAGAAATTTAACTTCGTTTGTATTGTGTGGTGATGTACAATATGCAGGGACTGTTAACTATTTTAAATTATTTCCATTTTCCCACGATAAGTTTTAAATTGACGCGAATTAAGGCTTTGCACGCAAATTATCACGCACAATCCACGCAATGCAAAAAAGAAACCTCGCGTGTCGGAAATCATCTTCGTAAGAAGTTTCCGAATGCGCCTACTTTTGCTAGGTTTATGTTGTGTGAATCGTGTTTATTTTACTCGCCTGACAGATCATATAAACGCAAGATCTGCGTTGAGAGTTACCTATGTAACTATTATCTTTATTTAAAATGTCAAACAATGATTTTTTTGTGTTTTGAAGTACAAAAGAGATAAAAAAACTCACCTGAAGGACCAAGTTCACGCATTTTTGTAAATAATCCATGTCTCCTCTTCGAAGCATAAATTCACTTCTCACATAAACAGCTATGTATTTGTCACCAAGGAACTTGCCAGCAAAAGCATTCACTTCATTTTCGACACTACTTCCAGAACGTAAAGCGTAGGTAAGATCAATGGATGAGTATTTTAAATCATCTTCTGAGAACTTTAATCTATGAGAAACGCCATCAATTCCTCTCCATTGATATATGTTAAGACATTTATTTTCTTTTATTATTTCTTCTATTTTTTCCCATTCTCTTACCACCTCAGAGTGGACGCAATATTGTCTACCTGGGGTGCGGCTGATAAATTTATTAAGAAAGTCACATTCTGTCCATCCATGTTGTTGGGCATTTGCTGTCGTTTTGCTCACATAATCTGCTTTCAATCTGAACATTGACCTAAAGGAATTTTTTGATGTTTCAGAATTGTCAATAAAATGTATACTGACATGATTAGGATCTTCAGTTGGACATTCACGTATATATTCTTCTTTGTTAACCAACCCAGCATAATTACTGGCAACAAGTAAGTCTTCCATGTGATGAACATCATAATAATCGTCTAATTTATACCAGGAGTCATCAGAACTTAGTTTAGTTGCTCTAACGTAAGGTTTAACAACATATCTTTTGTTCCGTCCTGCTTGTGCACAAAGACTTAAGAATGCTCGAGTATTTTTTGATAGCTGGTCGTTGAACATGTAATGAACGTATGCATATTTTTTTATCTTTGGAAGCAGGCGGTTTTTCTGTATTTAAGACATCAATGACCTTTGGAAAATTTATTGGTGTATTTTCTATTTTGATTATTTCTTTGCCAGAGTTTCTGTCTTTAGCGATATAAACTCGTAGACTTTGTTTCTTTGTCTGTGATATCATTTTCTGCAACATATTAAAATCAATTCCTTCAATATATTTGCGTTGATGAATAGAGTAAAAGCGCATTTTAACCGTAGATTCACCAGAGCGTATTGAAATAAATTCTCCCCTTGAAGTATAAATTGACAAGTAGCAAGAAATTAGCAGAGTCAAAGAAAGCAGTGCAAAGAGCAATATCTTCAAGCGTTGACGACACATATTACACTTTTCAAGAAAATCTTAATGGTAAAACAGATGTAAACATGCATCAAGAATTTAATCATTGTACTAACAATCGACACGTATACATGTAAATATATTATGCAAAACTTTGTATTCTTTTCGTGCATGGTTGACTGTTACCAACGATAAAAAGTAAAACGCAAAAGAAATTATGTTATTTTATGTTTTAATACTGCAGGAATTTATTGATATCATATCAGCTCTTCCGCATGTTTGAGACTCATTTGGAACTTTTTATTACTATTGAGCACATGCATTAAAGATGATTACTATTCATATAGACATATAGCAATTAGCATATGCAATAGGCCGTGGACAAGTGCAGAAAATTTTTAAAGAGCAAATGAACCCTACTTATAGAGCTCTTTCAAATTTATTTGTTTTCGAAGCATAATGGCAAAATAGCTTGCTCGGTTGGTTGATACTCCGATCAATAATTATCATTTCAAAATTAAACATTAGCTTGAAATGTCTGACTAATTACAATAGCCGCGGTTCTTTTTTGGAGACTGGGTCTAGCCTACTGTGACGTCTACAAAGGATGATGTCATTTAAACTAAATTAATATGTATTATGAGAGTACATAATTGTTAAAAGTATCGTATTTTAAGGTAAATATTAAATAGCAGTGTTGTCCGTGTTTGCAGTAACATACCAAAACCAAATGATGGTATTTTTCTGCGGTGACATCAAAGCATTTCGAACCAGAATGATTTCCGAGCGCTTTTTTTATTTACTTGCATGCTTCAAAGTATAGGCTTTACAAACACGTTGGCTGAAAACAGAATAAATATTGGTCACTTCTAACAGATTTTATAGCTTAAGTTGCGATTTTCGACACATGTTATGCCAACTTTGTCTTTGTCGTGTGACCTCATAGCGATAATCACTCCTAAGACCTAGAAGTTATGTTGCTGGCTGTCCAAAGTTACAAAGTTGTACCAAGACACAATTTATGAAAGCAACATCATTATAATTTTTTCCTATAAAAAGAAAAAGATCCAAAATGAGGAACTGAAGAAATTTTGTCGCAAACATCGGCCAAATTTTCCAGGCTCGGCTACATCGTATTTTTCTTCGAGGAGGGTACCTTGACGATTCATGCTATAACATGAATACTGCTTTGGGCCAGTCGCACAATATTAAAGAAAGATTAAAAAACAATGCTATTTCTACAATTGACGTGATAGGTATCGTTCCAGCGACTGAAGAATTAACCACAGATAGAAAACGAAGACAAGTACATATTTATTATTCGGCTCGTGTTATGCACGAGAACGGCCGAATATAATGATTTCAGTATGATATTATTGTTGACTTTGTTTACCGATATTTTATTTTTTGGCGTCACTGCAAAAGACTGTCTTCTCAAAAGTTCGTGCTTTCTTATTAAAAGATTGAACATGGAAAAAGAAGGGAGACTGCAGTTGATCGTATTTCGTGCAAATCATGCTACTGCTTGAAGTGATGCAAGAGGATTAAATACCTTTAGACCTTGAGCACATATGACACAAAAAAGTGTAGAGCATGTGCAATGTTGCAGAAGAAAGTAGAAAGGCTGGAATGAGAACGAAAGGTTGATTGTACACATTTGTATTAAATCAACTAAGTAAATCACGTCAAGACTGACTGAAGCTGGTAGGAATGCGTACATCAATGAATTCAGTGAGTATTCTGATGGTGGAATATGCATGTCTTGAAAAAAGAAGTCAGTCTACCGAAAGAATGAAGATCACACATAAAATATGTTGTGTTACGTAGTAAATTGTTCTAGAAGTAAGACGTGAATTTACTCAAAGGATTTGTTCTTGAAATAACATGTTGTAGTATCCAGCTAAATATAGACACATATAGACACAGTGAAATTTGTTTTATATAGTGTCCAGATTAGATACAAATGCACGTACATTTGTAGTATAGGGTTGATGAAGAACTAGTCCATAAAACCAAGCAATGGTCATGATTAACTACAGCTGTCGCAAGGTCCTGTGTGGAATGTTCTGTTTTAATAGTAAATCTCAAAATCATCCTGTCCTTATCAAGTGTGTTGGGTTTTGTGTAGTTGTAGAGCAAATATGTAGTAAATGCCGTGTGGAAGAACTACTAATAGAGAAGTCAACCTATGCAAGAAAGATTGCCAGTTAGCAATATCATGACAATCATATAATGGCATTTTCATGTCTTTATCCATTATCAGTCTTGCTTTATTAATATTTAGAAATATTAATTTACACACTGTTGCAGTATATTAAAGTCTTCAAAGAAAATTTCTACTTTTCATCCATTTTGAAACATTTTAAGTTTACAAATTTGGTTTGATTGAGGAAATAAAGAACAAGGAAGATGAATCTTAGACATGGTAAGGAGATGGGTACTTTGATTCGATGGTAACAATGCAAAGTATGGTGCTTTCACATTGTTTAATAATCCATCATGAAAACTAGTCCACTACTCCAACATTATACAAGAATTTTGGGAAGGTATTTGATCTAAAATCATGTTCAGTGATGTAGTTGATATGTTCAATGCTGCTATCTAACTCGTCATTCAAATTACAGCTCCCATTTTTCTTTACAGCAATAATTGTTCTATGCACCCTCATGTAACTCAATATTATGGCAAGTTTGACAAGTGGCCCTAAGAGCTTTACTAAAACAAGAAATATTACTTGATACTGTTTATTTTAAGCAATAAGCAAAGTTAAGTAAATTAGTTATATATAATATGACTAATAACTGCATAAAAGTATTTTATTTTGACAGTTGACGGTGACATTTGTGACAACACAAGGCCATATAGCCAACACTAAATACTTGCCGCTGATTTAACTGTATTGTTCTGTCGTTTCTTTCCTTTAAAGTCTCTTGCAGTATTCCGTCTGCATCTGAAGTCATTGCATATTTTCTTTCCCATGAGTCCGCTAATGGCTTATATTTATACGGTAAACTATGCTATGATATTGTTTCAAAAAATGACGACGAAGCAAACTGCTATTTGCTACGACGCTATCAGAAGCGTCCCTTGTTAGTGGAGGACAATAGGACGTATTTAATTGTGCTTCATGCGCACTCATTTGATGACAATACTTTGAGGCTATTATTCTCTTCGATGTAGAATTTAAGTGTTTTATAAAAAAAAGAATGTTTTATTTAATTAGATCTTAATCATTTAATTAGTGCTACATCATCGAAATTTACGACTGCTTTTTTGTTTGTTTCATTTAAAGTACTCACTGTACTAACACGTTCGTCGAAAACAGAATTAAGATTGGTCTGTTCAAACAGATTGTATAGACTTGCAAAATTGTGATTTTCGAGATATCTTGTGCGAACATTTTGCTTGTCGCGTAACGTAACAACGATGATCACTCATAAAAATGACGTATAGAACTGATAGTGATAAAAGTCCTCGTGGATGTAGAAGTTGTGTTGCTGGCGATCCAAACTTAGTAAGTTTTACCAATACACAATTTACAGAAGGAATATTTCATATCATTGCATATTTTCCTAAAAAAGAAAAAGACCCAAAACGGAGGAGAAAGTCGGTAAATTTTGTCCGTAAACATCGACCAAATTTTAAAGCCTTGGCTATGTCGCACTTTTGTTTGGCCCACTTTGATGAATCATGTTTTAACGCGATTCCTGCTATGGCTAAGTCGCTCAAGAATCAGAGCAACATTGAAAGACGATGCTGTTCCTATTATTGATGTAGCAGGAACTATTCCAGCGACTGAAGAATCAACAACAGGGAGAAAACGAAGACAGGTATGTCAAAAATTCACGTATCAATCAACACCTTTTAAAATCACCTTTATGCAAAACTATTTATTCACCCTCTTGCGTTAAAATCATCGACAGCGCAGATACTACATATGCCCTCAAAATCAATGAAGCACTTCAAATTAACAAAACTCACCCTAATCTCAACGTCCAAGTTTTTCCTTTTTACACTATATTCAGCGTGTAAATACACTCATCATTAATTCTAAATTGTAGAATACTATAAATTGTTTCAATGTATCATTTTATTCTTATATATAATTATCACATACATAATACACTTTATTATAATGAAGATGGCATCGTGAGATGTTGAAACATGCTTATTTTAAAAAAAAATTGTCGTTTTAATAAATGTGCATTATCAATATTACTTTTAGGCATTTACAGTAATGTTGCAGATGTGTTATGTAAGTCTACCTGAAGAATTTGTTTTTGGAATTAGCTGTGGTACTGTAGAGCTTCATACACGATCAAATTATTACTTAATGTCTTTCAGATTAGTTACAAATGCTTGAAATTATGCATTGTATGGTTGATAAAGGAACAAGTCTATAAGATGAACTAATGTTTATTGTTTATGATAGCTGTCCAAAGAACTTATTTGGCATCTTCTGTTTTAATTGCAGTGCTCAACATCCTACGGTTAAGGGTGTTGAGACTTGTACAGTTGTGGAGCAAGCATGAAGTAAATGCCTTTTGAAGAACTACGTATGGACAAGTCAAGCAATGCTAGATAGATTTCCACTTGGCAATATTATGACAAGCTTTGGCATTCTGATTTCTGGACTCAGTATCAGTCATTTTATGTTGATTTTTAGACACATGAATGTACAAAATAATGCAGTTAGGACATATACCATCAAAGAGAATTCTTACTTTGAAACATTAGGAACTTAATCAGTCTGATGTGTTTTAGGAAATAAAGAACAAAGAAGATGAATCTCAGACATGGTCAGAAGATGGGCGTTTTGATTCAGTGGGTCACAATGCAAAGTACGCTGACTACACAGTGTTTGATGATACCACATTAAAGCTTGTCCACCTGTCCCATTACTGTGAGATACTTTGTGCTTTTTGCGACTGTGTTGTTTTTATGTCTTCTATTTGACAATTTCTTTACTTGGTTGACACCAATGAAGTTGGAAGCAGTAATACTATAAAACTGGAAGGTGCAAAAAAATCATTTGCTTTCTGGCAGAAATCAGGTCTTGAGGTGAACATTTTCATCATTGACGGACATTTAGGAATAGCAAAGTGGATAATGGTTTGGACAACCAAAAGCAAACCAAACATCATAATGACATGTGGCATGCGAACAAGATTATAAACAAACAACTACGGATGGTGGCCAGAGAGAAAAGTTGCGAAGTTTTCAATAATCTGGTAAAACGTATTTGGAACCATTTGTATTGGAGTTTAAAATCAAATGTTCCTGGTTTTAAGACTCTTTTTGTTGCAAAGTGAAAGTCAACCATTTGACTCATAGCTGGAAAACATAAAAATCATGCAGATCCATTATTTCCATATTGTGCTCATGCTGATCTAGAGCCACAAAAGCGGATTACTATTGGTATGTTTCACTTTTACATACTTTGTTTCTTCATGAGAAATAGTATTAAAATAGTTGAAAAAACCCTTGAAATAAGTAGTTTGTTTTGTAATGACAATCAAACAATTTGTTTCAAGGCACTGCTGCCTATGACTAACGCAGTGGCATTTTATTAAAGGCAAATATTCTAAAGGATATTGATATATTGTCACCTGATGCTTAAAAAACAGCTGCGTTGAAGATTTCATTCTACACTTAACCATTGGCATCCATAAATGACCAATTTATCTTGGTTCGGAACTTTATGCAGGTAAATTTTTGTATTAATCTGATTTATACATTATTTAAAGCATGGGACATAGCCAAGTGCTGTATTCTCTAGTAACATCTTTAGATTGACAATATTTTTCAACTTATTTTGTATACATATTATTTCTATTCTTCACTTCAACGAGAAAATTACTCGAAAGGCCAGGAAAAACAAAGATGATTGTACATATCTGACTGTTACGTTCCCTAAACTTAAAATGAGTGAGGAAGTTGTTCGTGAAATACCAGTTCCACCTACCCACGGTAAACTCTTTCTCTATGTATACATAACAAGCATAATAAAGAAGTTTATTTATCAAAACAGTGAAAATAATTTGTTGCAAGTGCACAGGCCTTAGAGCACAATGACATTGTCAACTTTAGGCAAAAAATCATACAAACAATCATTTGGATTTTGTGTATTTTTAATATGTAGACTTTGTCAAAGCTGTGAAAAACCCTCTTTTAACAAGTCCATCTGATAAATATTACAAACAAGTCCCCCAAACATTGTGCCAACAGTTTTCTGGTAGAAAGATTAAAACGGATGAAAGAAAAAGCATTATGCAAGAGAAAAGTTTGCAGAAGCAGAACTATTCTCAAGTTGTAAGTAAAAAAAATATTGTGTCAACACTTCACCAGCACAAGACACTGAAGTGAATTGTAGACGTACCCGAATGTACAATTGAAACCCAACACAACTTTAACATATATTGCAACACCCGTCCCACATGTGACTACGAATGAGTCACATGTTATATCACTTTGTCTCGAAGTTTATTTCATTCCTGTTCCATTAGCTCCTGATTTATCACCTCCGAAACCACAGCACCTTGTCGTCTTTGTCTGAATTCTTTGGCACTCACTCGCAACTTATTTTGATGGTTGCTAACATCACATTGTAATTCTAAAGGATAGATCAGTTGGATTGGTATCTCAAGCGATATTTTTCCACACTGAAGTTTGACTCCTCTCGCAACTCCATCCCTTCCACGGATCAACATCGTTACCTTTCCGATCTTCCACATATTTCTGTTTTTCTCATCACCCTTTATTAAAACGATATATCCCTCTTTCGTATGAGATTCAGTTGCTGATTTGTTAACTTGATTGCGCTGGTATAGACTTGTTAAATATTCTCACTGCCATCTGTTCCACAATTGGGTTTTGATTTTATACAAACACTTTGCTCGCTTCCGTAATTCACCGTCCTTAATGTGATGACACTCCACTTCAGGGATGACATTCGTCTGTTGATCTACGAACGAAGATGGCGTGAGTACGGGGAGTTCAACATCTTCCTCTACAAAGCTCACTGGTCGATTCTTCATGTAAATTCCTACTTCCAGAACAACTTCTGCCAGTTCATTAAATTTCAGACGTCCTTTACCAATGACTTCATAAAATAATGACTTGACTACACCGATCAATCACTCAAAATGGCCTCCCCACCAGGGTGCGTGGGACAGATTGAATCTCCATTAAATGCTAGGTTTACTGAGCTCACTGTGAAAACTCTCGTCTTGCATTGCTCTCTTTTACCATGCTGCTGCAGCTGGGAACGTTTTCGCATTGTCCGAATAGATCAGCAAAGACGACCTCGCCTTGCTACGAGCCGTTTTAGACATTGCAATAAGGAAGTTGTCTCAAGACTCTTCAACAATTCAAGATAGACTACTCGCGACAAACTACAGGAAAAGAGCACTAGATAGGCTTTTCCTTCTTGATTTTTCTTAACTTTATACTTAATCGGACCGGCGAAATAGACACCAATGACTTTATATGATGTGGTTCCTTCTGTTCGAGTCTTTGGTAAAGGAGCAGATAGTGGAGCTTGACACGGTTTAATCGTGACATCTCAAAATCTTGTCATCGTTGGGCTGTACATTTAACTGAATAAGATTCGTTTGAGACTTTGGGTTTCCTGCGACTCCGGCTTATACCATTTTTATCTATGACATGTGTTGCTCCTCCACTTCTTCAGATGTCAGTGACCCGTGCTTTCTATTATCTTTGTTTTGTCGAGCATTATCAGTAAATCGTTTCACCCACGCCCCAATACCAATCGCCTTCCGCAACGAATGTTTTTCAAGAATATCACTGAATATCCAAAGTCTGACCACTGGATAGCCGTGCTGAAAACTACTCTCGTCGCCTTTGCTTCTCTTAGGGAGTCAATTGACGGTTTGCCTGTAAGATCTGGCGGCCAAAGACTACGCGCTGATAGCCAGGCAGGACCTTTCATCCACATCTCGATCAGTTTGCCACCTCTGCTTCCGAGGTCGTCTGCTTCAGATTGTCGTTTGTTGGCACATAATGCCACACGATCTCATTAGAAGCTCGCATTTTTGCCACTCGATGGGACACGAATTGTTTATAATCACCCTCTCATTTAATCCACTATAAAGCTACAGTACTATCAGACCAGCAGTGTTTTCTGTGTGGAATGTGTCTCAGCGCATTGCTAACATTCGAGACTAAATTTGCGGCCATATGACTTGCAACAAGCTCTAAACTCGAGATACTCAATACTCTTTTGGCAAGTCTTGATTTCGCTGCCAGTAATTCTTGAGTAACTCCAGAGGGTTCTTTATCGACCGTGTAGACGACTGGGCACAAACCTTCAGCATCACAAGGTAATTTTAGGTCACACACCTCTCAATAGATTTGCTTGCCTTGCAAAAGCAGAGGGGATGTAATTCCCATTGGATCATAAATCTTCGCCAGTCGACATAAAATGTTGCGCTTCGTTGGCAATTTCCCATAATGTTTTATTTGTACACTTAACGTATCTTTCTCTTTATTCCACGTTGTACCCAGGATCTTCGTCTGACTTGGCTGCACCCCAAATTGTTGTTTTGCAGCTGATTTTCTCTTTATGATTTTTGTTAACACTACCTTCATCCAACTCCTTTGCATTTAATGCCCACTTATGAAGGATAAAGGTGCGTCACCCTGAATGTCAATAGCTTCCAATTTTCTTTTTCGTGGTTCATCCACATTGCATCCCCCTGAAATTATGATATTAACGTACAGACACCTTTTCAGAGCCTGAACTGCGTCTGGAGCTTTGCTTTTCCAGTTATCCAAATGCGTTTAGAGAACTCCCCCAAGTAGGAAAGGAGAGGAAACCAATCCAAACAAATCTCTCGTGAACCGTAGTACTTCTACATCAGCCTGTGGATTAGTTCACTAGTGAAATCTTAAAAGAATCACGTTCACTTTCGCGTACACGAATTTGGAGAAATGCCTTTTGAATATCCCCAGTGATTGCAACAGAAAAACTTCGCGCTCTTACCAGCACTTCCCACAGCTTGTTATTTAGCGAAGGTCCCGCGTACAGGCATTCGTTTGAAGAAGGACTTTCTGGTGAAGCTTTTGCTGATGCATCGTACACCACTCTCAGTTTAGTGGACTGCGCTGACTCGCGTACGACTTCTTTGTTAGGTATGTAGAATTCATTACATTTTGCTACGTCAGTTACTGGTTCAACTATGCCTTTGTGCTTTTGGTCTTGGATTACTGCGTTGTAATCTTCAGTTAATTTCTTTCGGTGTAATCATCGCTCTAAAGATTCCAACCTTCTGATGCATCTTGTATTGTTCGATGGGAGAGGAGGATGATTTTCGGGCCATGGAAGACAGGTCTAGTACCAGCCCTCCGGTGATGGCGTTAATTGCTCTTTGAATTCGTTATACACTATTGATTGGTCTTGTTCAGCAGTGTCTGCTAGGCCCAGCACATCCAACCGTCAGAGATCTTCATAATCCTTCCGCGAAACTTGAGTAAGCAACATCATTTTACTGTTTGGTTCCACACCATGGCTCATGGCAAACCATCCGAGTTTTGTTTTTTCTGCAATTGGTTGCCCCTTAGTTCCAACCAAAGGATTTGTGTGAATTTTTATCCGTGCATATTCCCCGCTTCCCAAAACGATATGGACAGGTAATTGAGCATTCTGATCATTATCAATACATTTTGCATTGTTCAGTTGTTGAAACTTTCTTTGTAAGTTTTCATAGTGTGGATTGTCCACTCTGAATAACTCTTCTTTCTCCACCTTGATCAACTTCACCTTCATTAAATAATCAATGTCTATTGCTTCAAATTTCCCTTCATAGATTTCCAGTCTTGTTGTTTTTGATGCTAGAAGCCTGTCAACTTTAGTGGTTTGTGTTTAAATTGGTTTCATCCTCAGCATAGATGCAAGTTTACCAGATATGTATGAGCTTCCAGCCCCTGAGTCGATCAATGCACGACATATAATTCCATTTATCTTGACAACAAGAATGGTTAAAATTCCTTCACAAGTACATCCATCTTTAGTCAACACAGTCTGACCTGTTTTTGGTGTTTCTTCTCAATTGGTGACATCACATATGTTCGTATGGTGTGGTTTGTGGCAATTTCGGCATGATGACTTGCTGGGGCAAGCGTCAGCATGATGCTGTCCTGCTGCACAGTTGAAACGAAGTTTATTTTTGACTAAAATTGTTCTTCTCTCCTTGACAGTACTGATTACTTAATATTCCCCCGATTTATGATTTCCTTCACAGTAGAGGCACATCCCCTTTTCTTTAGTATGAAAGACTTTCTCTGACCTTTTAGATTTCCATCCAGGTGTAACTGACTCTTCCTTACATACTGGATTTCGTCTGGTCCACTGTCTGACGGCTTCAGTAAGCTTGGAAATGTCCCAACTTTCCCATTCTGGATCATTGCTAACAAGGTCCCCACGTATGGCTGGGAGTTTGTCTAGAGTCATGGAAACATTTCCTTGGACATTTTTCAGTTTACCCAGCTTTTCCAAAGCTTGGACACTGCGAAGTAACTTCTTACTAAATTCGGCAATCATCTCGGATTTGCTCCGAAGATATGAGGCAAGTCCATTATCTCTTTTATGTAAGCTTTTATAATTTCCGAATTCTTCCCACACTGATCTTTTCAATTTGATTTCGCTCTATTGTATTCTTCGGTGGTAAACGGTAACGATTCTACTTGTCGCTTAACTTTGGGCCCAAGGAAACCACTTGGTCAGGGCTATGACGGCGCTGGAAATATGGCAGAAAAATTTTCTGGAGTTGCTGCCCGAATCATACAGACGTACGATAAAGCCGTTTACGTGCATTGTGGTTCACATATACTAAATCTATGTGTTGTATCTGCTTGTTCAATAGACATGGTGCGTGAAATGATGAACAATGTCTGTCAAGTGTCAGGCTTCTTAAATAATTCTCCAAAAAGAACCATTAACTATAAAAAGAAGATTAAAGAAATTTGTCCACAAGCTAGTCAGGAGAAGCTTATCAATGTTTGTCGCACAAGATGGATGGCCACAACTAATGGCCTTTTTATCTTTCCTAAAGTTTATTTGTCTTTCTTGGCAGCACTAGAAGTGGTAAGAACAGACAAGTGAAACGATCATGATACGTGCTACAAAGCGGGGGGATGATCACAGCCATTAAGTCTTTTCAGTTTATCGTTTGTCTAGTAGTCGTCGAGCGTTGCCTTAAATGCACCCAACCATTAACTTTGCAACTTTAGTCTACTTCCTTTAACGCTGGAAAAGCTCGTGAAAAAGTTACTCTCCTTTTTTTGACCATTAACGAACTTCGCATGGACATTGACGCGGACTATTCGTCGTATTACGAAATGGCGGTTGAATTAGCTGAAGGAGGAGGGGTGAAACCTTACAAAAAGAGGACAAATGACCGTCAAATGCACCAAGTCAACGTACCTGCGGACAGCACGTTAGAAACTACAAAAGAGCTTTGACGATTCCTTTCCTTCATCATCTTGTAGGGCAGATACAATCAAGATTTTCAGATGGAAATCTCGACGCAGTGACGCCATGTATGCTTTGACAAGTTACGTCACCAGTGAACCTAAGTGAGCCGAATATTTTTCTTGTTTTTTTAATTAGTATCAAGATGACCTACTGTCACCTGATTTTCTTGTAATGGAGTTAAGAATATGAAAACTTTTTTGTTACAACTACAAGTGTCCGCTTACAAATTCCATACAAGAGTTGCTTCCTTTTGTTGATGTTCATTCATTTCCAAATGTACAAACTGCCTTTAAAATATTTAGAACAATTCCAGTGACTACATGTACCTGTGAGTGATCGATTTCAACTTTTCGTCGATTGAAAACCTTCTTGCGAAGTACATTGGGAGAAAAAAGATTATCGTCACTAGCATTATTAAATGTTCATCGAGAAATTCACCATAACATCGAGAAAGTAATCGAGCGTATTGCACTTAAACATCCAAGATGAATGGTATTGCCAGATCCTTTAAATAGCGATCCGTGATGAGAAAGATAAAAAGCAAGAGAAAAACTTTAAAGCACCGTCATTAAAACAAATTTGGGCGTTTTCAGTGAACTTTTCTTGACCTATTGTAACTTTGCTTTGCTTTTGACAGGATGTCTACTGTAAACATTTTCTACTAAATACTTTTGCTGTTCCAAGATAGTCCACATTAAACACTTTCTTCCTAATGTACCTCAACATTTTCATTACTGTTCCAACGTAGTCTACAACAGTTAACATTTTCCAAATTTTTATACTTCAATATTTCATCGTAAATGGTTATGATGGTCTACAGCGAACAATCGATGTTTGTTTTATTTTAATGACGACTCCGCGATGCTTTTTCAATAAAGATATACGTACAACTCGTGTGGTTTGCTACCAGCTTAGAACATAGCTTTTATTAATCTTGCCAGCTTTACGATTCCTGGATACACATCTTTGCCGCTGTTGGAAGAGGACCACCTTTGAACATTGCTTTTATTAATCTTGCAATCTTTACGATTGTTGGATAAATATCTTTGCTGTTGTTGGGAGAAGACCAACTTTGAGCATTGCTTTTATTAGTTTTGCCATCTTTATGGTTGTTACAAAAGGCATCCTTGCTGCTTTTCGAAAAAGACCATTTGATGGGGCAACAAAGATGGGGAATAAGTTTTTTGTAGTGAACAATTTCTGGTTATTCACTGCAAAAATAGCATGCTTCATCTTTCTCTCACTCCTGCGGCAACAATCCTGTGATTACAGAAAGGAAACTGCGTTGATTTTACATCAGACACCACGATGTAAGTAAAATTTTCATTCTTCTATCCGAACAGAATTAAAAAAATGGCGATATTGGAATTTTTTTTAGATGAGATTGTAACTAAAATATTGTTATATTCTACATTAAAATGTTTGTTTTTCCGAGGGTCTAGATTTCAAAATTTTCTGGGGATAATGCCCCCAGACACCCCTACCGTTGGCTCGCGCCGAAGGTGATCGCTACGGCACAGGGCCACGGTCAGAGCAGAAGCTGCATCCGCTCCTGTTAGGCTCCTTTTCAGCATCCTTATGTACTGTTTTGGTAAGGTCGGGAGACATAAAACATATTCTTGACAAAGCTAAAGATCAGCAAGAAAGAAATCCGTTGGAAATTATGATTTAAGCTAATTAACTAACGAATCTACAAATTTTAGTTTTTAAAATATCTTTTCCATAAATAAAAACTCCGTATCTTGTATATGTAATAAAATGTGCTTCTGAATATACATCAGAAGTAAACCTAGATTGCTCATTGAGATATAAATATTCATATATTTAGCTCTTCCCACCTGATTTCTTTTCAAATTAAAATTGATTTAGAAGAGCTGAATGCATGAATAGTAAACAATTCTTTATCTTTATTTTCACGTCTTTTTCCATCACTTAATCAAATAAAGACTGGAAAAAAGAAATTAACCTTGCACTAACATTAATGAAATTTCATTAAAACTTACTTCAATAGTACTTATTAAATTTTATTTCACACACTTTATACGATTTTAGCCACAAATATAAATTTTCAAGACTTCTGGTTAGGCTTAAACTTGCCTAACTTGCTTCAACTCGAAAAACTTAAAATACAACACTAACATATTTTAAATCTTAAACACAACATACCAATAATGTCTTGAATGCCAAATGTACTGCTCTTTCCTGTTTGTTTGTTTTTTTTATAAAATTCTGCATACTTTTCTGTCATTTGTTAATGCATGAAATCTTAATTTACCCATCCATTTGCAAAATGGTTTCCCTAAATAAGAGAGACGCTGCACACATTTTGATCTGTGAGTAAGTATAAAAAAGAAACGATCAACCCAAGCAGTACCCATGATTGCAGTAGAGCTTGTTATGTTCTATTTGCTGACAACATGTAGGGAAGATCAAGGAGTAAAGATGACTGGAATATGTTATTGACCAGGCAGAGTCTTAAAAAATCGATAATGCTCTAAAGTAATTGATTTATTGTCTTCCCTATCCAGAGTTATTTAATTTTATCATGGTCCAATTCTATGGATACAGACAATGGATTTACTAATGATGCCCTGAATGCTTTGAAGTTAAATTTCATGAACCAAAATAGATGGAAAGAAGGTCATGTGTGTTTTGATGTTTAATGAAATGCCAATTCATAAACATGTAAAATGGGAAGGCTATAAAGTCTGTGCCTATGTAAACATTTGTACTGAGACTTATGATGACTCGATGCAGATTGTAAAACTTCAAACTGTAAAAGCCATTAGGTTTTATACAACTTAATTTTTCAATCATGTCATGTCTCTATCAAAATATTTTAGTTGAGTATTTTTTGAATGTTACTAATATCTAATGAAATATACTAAAGCAATATAGATTCAGTGGTAAATCCTTTAAAGTTACTGTATTGTATATTTCTTCATTATTGCAATTTTTGCCTTAAGAAACAGTTTGAGCTAATATACCTATTAGAGTAGAGAATGGAGATTTACCATATGCATTCTGCTGCTTTTTTTAATATAAAGTTTTTTCACCTTTCTAAGGTTTTCTAGAAATTTTTGCTTCTTATTTCTTTTCGTGAGATTGATGATATAAAGGTAATATAATCCAATAACTTTATAATTTCCAAAAAGCTTTTAATTATCTAGCATAAAAATACACTAAAGTTATTTAATTCATTTGGTTTTCTTGCCTTGCTATAACATATCTACTTGCACTTCATCATTCTTGTATGAAAAAAAAAACACCAGATGTGGATACTCAGAGAACAAATTGCACTACCAACTGCTTATGAATTTATTGTTGAGATGAAAACTGTGTTAATCACTCAAATTGTGTACTTATATTGCAAATATAGGAAAAACAAAACAAAGAGAAAAAGGAGGGTAGATTTATTAAAGCTACAATTGAATTATAAACACCATTGGAAGCGTAAGTGTTTTGGTAATTATTTGCATTTTGCCCAATTCATATATCAATACAACAAAATCAAAATATGCTACAACTTTACAAGCATTTGATGCAGTTGCACTTCAGAACATCACAAAAAGGTTACTTAAAGTAATTTCTATACAATAGTATTTGTTTTCATTTATCAAACCTATGCAGACTTGAGTCTTTTTGAAATTTAATATAAGACTAATTACAGAAAATCCGTAAGTATCCAGAGATTTAATATTTACTTTTCTAAAGAGACAAGTAAAAATCCTACAATTGCGGCAAAAAAGCAATTGCCCATTGCATGAAAAGAAGCAAAATAGCAATGATAACAAATAAGCTAACTTCTCTCATATGAATCCTGAAGATGAACTATGATATACTTTTTTGTACTGACGTAAGAGTTAAATTGATGAAACAAGTTTGACGCTGGAAAGAAAATGTCGCAAATCTGCATTCATACATATGTAGCAGACACATAGCTCTTTCGTCAATAATTATAACTGCATCCTTGTGGGAGCAGACAAATGACAACCACATTTGACTCGCTGTTATGAATTTAAAGTCTTTGCTTCGCAAACGTCCGTGTTTTTCACCATAAAAAGGCTCGTTCTGTTTTTTATAGCTAAAACGAAATTTTGACGAAGCGACAGCGACAACAAAGTTGTGTCATTTGTTTACACGGTCAAACTTCGCACTGGTTGTCGTACTCGTACTCTTGCTAAAGCTTTCTAATATCTCGCGCTAAAACGTCATCTCATACGCGCGAAAAACAAAACAAGTAAGAAAAACTTTAATCGTTATGGAACATTTTTCACATTTATTTAAAATTTGCTTTTTTTGAAATAAATAATACATAAAGACCAAGCTTGCTCTCATTACACTGAAAATGCCAGGAATGCTCTCTCATTGATAGTAACTTCTACAGATTCTACAGATGAATTGTGTTTAACAGTGGGAAGCTTCTGAAGTCCATCCCGCTAAAATTTACACTGATTGTAAATTAGACTTAACGCCTGGAAAGATGTAGTGGAAATTAAACTGATCAGGGCAAGCGCATTTGGCCAGTCCTACCACTCACTTTTTTCGTATTAAGTAGTGTAAAATTAGTCGTATAAAAAATCAATTATATTATTTTTAGCACGAAAACCTGATAACCAAATGATGTTACAATTTCTTTTGTAATAAAATATATTAAAAATTAGAAGGGTGTTTATTTAAAATACTTTTTACGATTGTTTTCCTTTGACATTGCTACGATGTAGATGATAACGAGTAAACTGAAATGAAGTCTTTTTGTTTTCTATAACAACAACATTGGAGTGGTTGATTTATGCGATTAATTTCTCTCATATTATTCGCTGCAGAGGAAATTTGTGAAGTGGTGAAGGAAAGTGATTTTAGTTTGCTGGAACTATGCGTTGTTGAATGCTCTAGTCTTGTTCAAGAATCAACATCCTAAACTTAATCGAAAAAGGTTCCTTCTTAAGGCTTGTAAGAAGCAAGTTGTAAATCAACTAGAGAATTCACTACAGGAGCATCCATGAACAACAGCAGGGCGTTGTTATCTTTCACCGAATAATTATAGTCTGGCAGACATATCCCAAGGAAATATAAAAGGTCAGGAAAGTGTTTTGGATGTGGAAATAAATAGTCAGCTATTATTAAGAAAACAGAAAAGAAACCAACAACTTTTTCTCAAAATGATACCAACACATTTGACAAAATTACTCCAAGTAGCTCACACAAAAGCTTTTTTCAAAAATTGACCACATTACAAACAAATGCACTACAAATACATTGATAGGACTGTTGCATTTTTTTATAAAAAAGGCTTTAAACATTTTAAAACTTAACTAATATGCGTTTTGTACATTTTATTGTTTCATTGGCACATTTTAAATTCTAATTGCTCGGTCAAATTAGTTTTACATTACTTTTTTTCTATTTGCGAAGTGTTCAAAATACATTACAGCATGAACTGGGTATCAAAATGCTAAAAAGTAAATTATGTTTGCAACTATTGGCGTTAAAAAGCCATATCTATGTTATTGTATGTTGTACGGCAGTTAAAAACTTATAAGCTCGTCTTTCAAATAAATTTCATGAACTTTATAATATTTTCATGGCCGAGTTTTTGAGAAAACCCATAATAAAAATCCTTTTGGGAACAAAAGGGTTAACTTAACTTTCACTGTGATGTACACATAGAACTGAAAATAAAGAAATAGGGCAAATTATTTCCCTATTGAGCATTAATTATTGGATTATAATTATTTTTATACAAACACATTAGCCTTGCCAATCTGTACTGATTTTCATTAGGGACATGTAAATTGGAATTTACATGAATATAAACTATAACGTAAATGAAAGCTTATTTACAGCACACGCAAAAATAGTTTTAAGGATGTTACATAATGCATATACATAGTTATTTAAAGTTAAGGGAAAGAAGGTGGCTAGGAAAGAGGAAGGTGGCTTTAGCCCCTTTAAATTTTGATGTGAGGTGGGCTTACCCCGTCTTAACATTGTAGGTTAATATTGCCAAAATATAATGCATCCTTAACTGATGTAACTTTTGCCTGATTTATGCAATAAATCGTTACACAGATTAAACAAACTGTAAGAATATAGAAAAATACGACTTAAAACGATTTGCGACAGCATAAACACGTGTATATTTGTCAATGTAAGTAAATTTACAACTTTTTCACATTCATTCGGAAGTGCCAGTTACCTGTCATAGTCCCATTCTCAACTTTTAAGAAACTAAAAACATCTATTTTTGCAACCTGGATGCAAAAATGTCGTGACTGCGTTGTCATAAGTTTTATGCACATAACTTAGACAGATTGCCATAGTCTTTTTGACATTGTACTTTAATACGTAGCTTCAATGCATCTTTAATCTTTTTAAATATTAAGTAATTATCAGTTTAGCGTAATATATTGACTGCAGTATACTTGTAAATATGAAAAAATCAAACATTAAAATTTGCCTAATATTAAGAGTTTACTATTTTCATTAATGATTCTTGAAATTTATATTAAGTAATCAAGCACATTAATAATATATACTTTACTACGTCAAAATATAACCTAAATGAAGAAATGGTTTTACAATACTATGCAAGATTTATATCCGACTTCTCGTATGATAGGTTTATTTTAAGTTTGTCTTATCTAAAAACAATCCACAAACACATGTTACAATGAACTTAAAAGTAGATGAAGGAAAATCTGATTGTCTAAAGGGAGCGAAGTGGAATAAATAAAATTATTCAAATGTTTCACAATCTCATGATGACATTTTCATTTGCTATAGAGGATTGAGTAAATGATAAATACATATAATAGTAATCTAATACAATAATAGTTTATAGCATTATTACTAAACTATATATAAATACTACAATGGAAAATTGGTTAGATTTAATGAAGATTGTGTTTAAATACCGATTATGGTGTTAAAACAAAAAACTTCATCAATTAGATTAGGTATAGTGATGTTGATATAAAGTAAGACATTTAAAATAAACAGCAAATTTTTTTAAAGCAAACATATTTCGGCATACTTTATGCAATCTTGAGTGCAAAATCAATAAATACAGGAAGCTTACATGAAAATGAGTTGTAGTGATAAAGCGGAAATATCGAATAGTTATGAATAATTATTTACAGTTGAATAAGGTGTTTTGAAATGTTTGTGTTAGGTTTTAAAAAAAAAATTAAAGGAGAAAATGAAAAATATGTGATGAGGTAGGAATAGCTTTTACAGCTCAAATATAATCAAAAACAGTCCTTCTCAGGACTTTATTAACCTGGACGATCATCATTTACAAACATATAACGATACTCCCGGGTTCAAACCATTTACTTTATTACGATCAAAGATAATGTTAAGATGTTGTATTTGTTTGTCGAGTTTGGGCTAACGCTTCTTGATATAAAGGGCTTCTTTCAGTTTAAGGGCGAAAGGAGTGTGAGCGGTGTCTAAGATACGGAAGCACAATTGCTTATAATTGTCTTTGCAGTGTGGTGACAAGAGTAAGTGTCTAAATATGTGTAAGTTTTTGTCCGTGGTTGTGTGTTCTTTAATCCATGTGGAGAGGTGGCGGGTGATCGCCCCAAAGTATCTGGAATTACATCCAGCACAAGAAAAATTCATAAACCACGTTGGATTTTAAAAGAGTGGGAATAGGATCTTTGAAGCCAAAGTGATTTTTGATTTAAAAAGATGAAAAAAGTAGTTTGATGTCTAAGTGTGCAGTAGCGTTTCATTAAATTGTGCAATTACCGTTTCGTGACTTGTGAAATGTGGACTATGTAGGGTAATTTTTAAGAAATAAGTCACGAATTGGGTAGTTGTGCGTTCGTTTCTGGTGTTTATTTTGTTTGTGTTTCTGTTATGGTTATATGATTTAATGATTTTTCTATGAAAGGCGAGGGAAAGGAGTTTCATTTGTGAATGTCGATAAAAGCGTTTAAATCATGATAGTAGCCAGTCGACGTGTTGTTAATATTCCGTATGTGGTTTATAAGAGTTTTAATCAGTCCTGTCTTATATTTTGTGAGGTGTAGCTAAAAAAGTTAGGTAATAAACCAGCGAAAGATTTTTTTATGAAATGTAGATGTCGTGTATGTGTTCGTGGCTGTGTTTTTAGTAATGGGTATGTATAAAAAAGTTAACTTGTTGTCGTGTTCTTTTTCCAAGGTAAATTCAATGTTCTTCTGTTGTAAATTTGAATAATTAAAAAAAGAGAGAACGTCATCCTCGTTGTTAAAAATGCAAAATATGTCATCTACATAGCGTCTGTAAAACAATAGTTCTTAAAGAAACCGTAACTAACC